CTACGGGAATGAGCCACCATGCGCAGGCTGGTCCAGAACTCCTAGGCTCAAGCAATCCACCCTCCTTGGCCTCCCAAAGTCCTGAGATTACAGGCATGAGCCACGGCGCCTGGCTGTGGAGGTTTCAGTGTGGTTATATACACAGGAGTCACTCCAATAAATGACAGTGCTTCTTTGTGCCACCTTTTTATTTTTTTTTGAGTTGGAGTCTCACTCCGAAGCCCAGACTGGAGTGCAGTGACCGCTCCCAGCCACCGCAGCCTCGACCTGCTGGGCTCCGGCCATCCTTCCGCCTCAGCCTTCCAGGTAGCCGGAATTACAGACATGCGCTACCACGCCCGGCTGATTTTTTGATTTATTGTAGAGATGTGGTCTCACTGCCCAGGCGGGTCTCGAACCTGCGGGCTCAGGCAATCCACTCACAGCCTCCCAAAGGCGCGGGATTACAGGCTGAGCCACCGAGCCCGGCTTCTTTGTGCCACCTTTTTAACCACCACCATTACTTTCCCCATCTCCCCCCACCCACCACCACCAGTCACTTCCTATCTTCTCTCAGCAAAGCTGACTTTCTTTATTATTTTGGCATTAGAATAGAGGACTAGGAATCACCTTTCTCTGGTTTAGGATTGACAAAGTCAGTCCAGGGCTAGAAGAAAGAGAGAAGAAAATGCCTAGCAGCAAGTATTCCTGAAGCATCCAGACTCTCCCCATGAAACTTGGCTTGTATTACGGAGTAAAATTAGTCTGTGGGAGGTATTTCAGCTGACTGCCTGCACATGATGACAAGTGTCAGATTTCAGTGGTAATTCAGGGATTATGGATTTTGTCAGGGGACAGAGGTAGGTCAGTTATAACAGGCAGCACAACCCAGACCACAGTCAGAACATGCAGTAGACGATGTCTGTGAAGTCGTTTGGGGGGAAAGCAGAAGGCATGAGCAAACGGAAGAAGGAGGCCTACTGAAGAATGGTGGTTTAATGGTGGCTAGAAATTGGCAAGGGAAGAAATAATAAGCTAGGAATTTGGTCAGACCCTGGTTAAATGGGTGGGGTTTGTCTCTGCACAAACCATTTCCCCTGTGCTCTCTACCCCCTCACTATTCCATCTTTTATTAACCACTGTCACCTGATTTGAAGAGCTATTTAAATTGGTTTTCTAGAACTGTATTCATAAGATTGAAAAGGCCTGAATCAAATGAAAGTTAACTTCAGTGAGAGATCTGAGTATATTCTGGCAAGGTCTGACTCATGGTAACAGAGTGACAGAAATGAATTTCTTTTTAGTGTTCAACGTATGTGAAAATGTGAGGCCTCGCTGGAAGGTTGTAGAGGCAGATTTTAGAGTGAGATTATGTGGGCAAAACTCAAGTAGAAAAAGAATTTGCCAGTATCTTTTCTTAAGAAATCAAATGTCAACATTTTCACATACAACTGGTGGAGTATAAATGGGAACATTTATCTGGAGGGCATTTGGTAATATATATATTAGAGTTCTTTAACTGTATATGCCCTTTGACCCCATAATTTCATATTTAAAAAAGGTTTCCAAGAAAATATTCAAAAATATTTTTTATACTGGCAAAAAATTGGAAGCAACCTAAATGTTCAATAGTAGGGGATTGCCTAAATAAATTATGGTTTATACACCTGGGTAATAACTATATACGGTTTGTAAATCACATTTTAGAGAAATACTTTTAAAATAATAAAATAAATATTACTTATCAGAAACAAATAAAAATACTGTATATAGAATGAAATCAACTTTGATAATAAACATCATGTTCAGATACAAAAAAACTAGAATATATATCACAATTTTTGTAGAAGAATTAGTTATATTTAAAAATAATTTCTAGAACACATTTACAAGGAATAAACATAAAAAAGAATTTTCTTTCAAATAGTGACATATATGAGAATGTTTCTAACAAAGAAGCTATTATTTAAACTAGAAGCTAAGGAATTTAGTCATGACATTTCTTGTTTATACATAGATATTTATTTATGCCTAGATGCTTTAGTTATCTTTTTACTAGCAGTTTCTCTTAAGTAGGTTAGTTTTTTGTTAAAGATGTCAGTGTTATTTTCTCCAAGGATGTGTGCCTTTATCTTTTCAGTTCTCAAATATTGATTTTGAACATTATATTGCAACAAGTACTAAGTAACTGGTTATTTGAAAAGGAGGAAGAAACAGCTCATGAGCATCTCTCCTTTTTCCGTCAACATCAGCTTTCATCATACAATTTCCTCTTACCACTTTGGTCAAGAGGAGGGGCGGAAAAGGTTGAGTTGGCGAATCATTCAGAGACAATCCGTTTCTGCCTTTTATGCTTCAGCCCTGAAAGGATCCAAGCCTGGAAACTCCAACTTTGCCCTCATTTTTGGATTGGTTTTTCCACCTTCATCACTTCATGGTACAGATATAGGTAACATCTGCTTTTATTTTCCACAGATCTTAGTACCTGATAATAATATTGTTCTAGAAATATGACACTAGATAACAAATAACTTAGCATGAGATGAATAGGAATGCATTCTCTATTGATTTTGTTAGAAAGCAAATTATTTGTCATTCATCATTCATGGGAAGTTTTTTTCTTTTTCTCAGTATGCTAAGATTTTTGTTTAAGTTGGGGTTCTCACTCTGTCGTTCAGCCTGGAGTGCAGTGGCATGATCAAGACTCACCACAGCCTTGACCTCTTGGGCTCGGGCAATCCTTCTGCCTCAGCTTCCCGAGTAGCTGGGACTACAGGTCTGAGCCACAGCATCCAGCCAGAAAAAGAAGAGTTCTATGTGAAATTTGTTTTTTATATTTCCTGTTTCTTAGATATAATATTTTTATATTGATTAATGTTAGAAGCAAGGTAAATTCAAAATATTTACTATTTAATGTTTCTTTTCTATATTGATATTTATTAATAGATTTAATCTATTATGAACATTAACTAATGACTGTGAATTGACTAATTTTATTTTTACATAGGTTTCTTTGGAAACATCCCAAATGTAAGATTATTTCTGAAATTTTAATGTACATGAAATCATTTGAGATTAAAAATATATGTGTCTGGGATTCAATTTAAAAGATTTTTATTAAGCACATTTTGCACAGGGTACTAGAATCTGGACTGATAGCTGTTGGGAGCCAACATCTATAGCTACATGGCTGAGGCCTGTAAAGGCCCATCTGGAAGATCGCCTCTGACATAGGATATCAGTTATACCTATGATATTGGCGTGTGATTGGTGACCAGTGTGCATACATGGCAGTAAAACTTATAAGTGAATCTCAGTACACTTGATGGAAGGTGCATGGCGGAATTGTTTCTGTCTTTCTAAGTTTAGCTTCTTTCTAGATATTTTTTTACTTCTATTTCCTGGTAGACTGGGTAGTCCTTGTTCCCGAAAGCTGTTTCCCCTAGGGCTAAGATTAGAAACTAAATTACCATGATAGTTCTGTCCCCTGCCCCTAGCCAGGTAGAACGTTTTCTTTTGTTTTGTTAATTACCGAAACTCTGTCTGCTTCAGCCCATGGCCGCCATCTTGGAAGCCCTGCATTTCCTTGTTCAAGAGTGTGACAGCTACTATTTGATTTTTAGAGTAGACTTGTTGGGATAAAATATATACATATACACTCATAGCTGCGTAAATCTATGCTTGCTGTTTTGATTCCTTTTGCTACATTATTCAAGTGTAATAGTTACTATATGATTTATAAAAGAATTAACGATAAGGTATTAGCTTAATAGGATATAGCATAGTATTAAAGTCCAATAACTAGATCATATGAAAATTAAAGTTTAGACATATGAAACATGAATTATAGTAAAGTTTTGTAGTTTAAGAATAAGTTTTAACTGAGTTATAAGGCGTTATGTTAAATTGTAATAGGTTAATAGTATAGTGTTAAGTTGATAATATTAATTGTTAAAAATATTGGGAATCAGTGAACTTGGATTGAACCTAGAGTTAACTCAGGAAAGTTTTTTGTATTAATCAGGGTATAGAGCAAAGAGTATAATATGAATGATTCGTTGAACATTATGGAAAACACTTTGAACGATTTGTATTGAAATTGTGCACCTGTGACCTTGATGTAAGCACGGCAGGCATCATGGAATTTGAATTGTTTGCTTGGAAATTGCAGATCTCGTGGTGGTCTTGTGATGCATAGTTTGTAAAGCACGAAACTTGTACGCCCCCAGTGAGTGATTATCACATTGCTGGAGGGTATAGAAAATGGTATATAAGTTGGAAAAGGTTTGAATAAAATCGGCTTCGGTCTTGGCCAGGCTGTTCCCAGAAGAGCTGCCTCCGAGTAGTTTTCTTCTCTCCGTCTCTGATTCACCGGTGCGGTCCTAACCCTCCCTCTGGTCAGTGCAGGTCACCGACAGATAGCTAATCTACAATATTATCCCTCAAATAATTCTTTTGCAGATGGTGTATGGGATATATCTTGGGAAGTATTCTGGTAGAGCCATGTATAATTGAAAATAATGCAATAACTTTTAAATATTTATGTGTATATCAGAATGTGTGGAAGTTTTTAAAGTCAAGATATTTCTATTTTTTCAGAATGTAGAATTTTTGTTTTTTTAATTGATGGATTTAATGTGTTTCGGTGATTTGAAGTGATATAAATTTTGCCTAACATTGGTATATGTCTGTTGAACGTTTTGAGCAAAATTGGCTGGGTGAATATAAGCATAATCTATTAGATTTAAATAAATCCTTTATGTATTTTCTCATAATCATGGCAGTGATGACTAGAAGTGTAAATGCCTTTAACAAAAATGTTGAAAGGTTTTTTGTTTCTTATATATCAGCCTTAGTCTACATGCCTTAAGCACTTAAAAAAGTTAATAAACACACACTCACAGACACACAGACATAGATACACACACCTCTCAGCATTAAATTCTGGTATGTTCTTACTGACTGACATTTTAATTTTTCTTTCAACAGAAAATATTCTTGTTGTAATGCTTTAGTGCAAAACGTATTTCCCTTCTTACTCCAAAGATGAGCGATCAAGGAGTGATTTATGCAACCCCAAGATTTTTTCAGACTTCTTCAGAGTCACAGAATAGATCAAGGCTTGATGGTACTCAAAGGCCTGGGAAAACTCATGACAAAGGTATGTATTTTAAGCAACTAAACTCACCTGTCTTTTATGGATTGTCAAATTTTGGATGTTTGAAAAATGTTCCAACCTGTACTTCTGGTTCTCAGATGGTAATAAGAAATCACAATGGGGTAGAGAAGAAGAACAGAAGTCTTTTTTTAAAAAAAGTTTGTGAAGCTGGGCTTGGTGGCTCAGCCTGTAATCCCACGCCTTTGGGAGGCTGAGGTGAGTGGATTGCCTGATCCCGTGGGTTCGAGACCTGCCTGGGCAGGGGAGACCTCATCTCTACAATAATAATAATAAAAAATCAGCCGGGTGTGGTAGCGCATGCCTGTAGTTCCGGCTACCTGGAAGGCTGAGGCAGAAGGGTCGCCGGAGCCCAGCAGGTCGAGGCTGCGGTGGCTGGGAGCCGCCACTGCCCTCTAGTCTGGGTGACAGAGTGAGACTCCAACTCAAAAAATAAAATAAAATAAAATAAAAAATGTTTGTAAGAATGGAAAAGTTTATAAATTCTTTTAAACTACAGATGCTAATAGAATGTTTTTTTCAAATCTGGTTAAGAATTTGTGAGGACTTAAAAAATAAAGGACCGACTAGAATCTGAAGAAAACATAGCATTTCTTAGAGAAAGTTTTAGAGAATGTTTAAGAAATGAAAAACACATGTTAAAAACAATGTCTTTATTTAGACAAGATATGTTGGGTGTCAAATATTTTTAAAACCTTAATGGTAATGATGAAGTAATTATATTCCAATAAAAGGGCATTTAATTGTATTATGTAGTTTCTCTCTTCAAATATAGTCATAATTAAACTCTAAATTGAGAATAACTTTTACTGCATTAATTTAGTAATAATCAGGAATATGACTTTCAGATACTGAAGATCTCAAAAGTCAAAGGATAAATATGGTCTTTTCAAAAGAAAAAATAAAATTGATAAAAAGGAAAAGAAAGTTGATTTCTAGAAACTCTTTTAAGGATGAACTCTGATCTCATTTGCAACTTCAGAATACCCATGATTGGCTATCAATTCCTCAGAAAAGTGGATTGCTTTTTCTTTCTTCTTCATGACTAGTTGTTATCACAGGAAGGTGCACACACGTCAATTTGGATTCTCCTACATGTTTTGTGTCTATTGCCATCGCTGATTTTGTAAAGGATATACTTTTGAAATACTATAGCACTTTTCTTATGTGTAGGATTTCTACAATGGGTGTGTGTCAGCCCCAAAGCTGAAACGTTAAAACTGTAATTCTAGATTACAAATTTAAATAAATTGGTATAACATATTTTTGTAAAATCTTTAGAGAAGATTGTCCCTGTGTTTTAAGCGGTGTCCCAGGTCAAGGTTAGTATTGAGAGAGGCTCTTTCTTTGATGCTTATTTTCTTCCTTGTTTTGTTAGAGTTTTCAGTGCCTTGGCGTCTCATTGCAGTGACTCTTGGGATTCTCTGTTTATTTCTGCTGATGACAGTCACAGTGTTGGTGACAAAGAGTGAGTAATTGAAATGCATCTTCCTGTCTGAGTAGTAGCAATCATAACGAATTGTGCAGTTGTTAACAAGGTTGCATCTATTATTTCTTGTCTAAAATAAAAAAAAAAGACCCAGGTGGTCCTTGACCTTGTTGGTCATTTTTTGTGTGTGCATATCACTGTGTCACTTTCATTTTACTTAACCTTGACTCTGTAGCTGTGATAATACATGGTAATATTTTATTTGCATAATACATGGTAATATTTTATTTGATAGACGATTTAGTAATATGCATATTCTGACATCTGGGTTTAGATCATTGTGAGTCTGAGATAAATATTCTTTGAGAAACAGCTGTTCAAAAGAAATTATGATTTTTTTCTGGACTTTTTTCAAAGTACATAACCAGGAAGTGGTTTAGTAAAAGAGTAAATCTACATGGATGTTAAAATGATTTTGAATTCAAGCTATCTTTTATTTGAATTATTTCACATCTTTAGAGAAAATAATGGATATATTATACTCAGATAAAATTACATATCTAGATCTCTTTTGCCCTATAGATATTCCATCTACTCTAATAACAATTGTCCTGTCTCTTCATGTTTCTTAGTTTAGAATTTCGTATGCAGAAGATATGTTGCTAAATGTTGACTAACTGATTTTTAAATTGGTACTTATTTGTAAATGATGTGCTGATAAAAAGTGAGCTGAAAGTAAGGTGTTAGAATCATAATTTTATTCAGATATCTTATTTATTCGACAGTTAAGTTGGCAATTGTGAGAAATTTTAATTTCCATTTCTGTGGTCAGTTCATTGAGGTGTTACTTTCTAAATGTCAAATTGCTAACTAAAGTAATAATATGGGTTGTTGTTAGAGTGAGACTTCTCTCTTGTTTTACATTTCAATATTTAATTTATGAATACTTTTTGTATATCTATGCTATTAATTTTAGTTTTTCAGTATATTCGAGAAAAACATCAACAGCAGGAACTTTTAGGAAACCTTAGTCAAAGGTACCACATTATACAAAATGACTACTTAAAGGAGCAATTTTTGACAAATAAGACTTTAGAATACGACATTTTCAAAAGCGAAACCTTTCAGCGGAAAAAGAAACTGGACTCACTCTTTACAAGAAAGAACCACCGTCATAGGAAAAATGCAATCTTTTCAAAATCTTTGCAAAATACAGGTATGGAAGAAATCTTGAATAAAAGATTGCATGACTTTGCATTATCTCTCTCCCTCCTAGAAGTTTTGAAGTAAAATCAAAAGGCTTATGATATGTACTATTTGTCTATGGATTCTACTGGGCAAACATTTAATTTGTATCTCTTAGATATAATGTGGGTATTTGGGCTTGCTTATTTCAAATAAGGGATTGGGACCATAGGAGTCATGTTTGGGTTAGTAGAACCCTAGAGTTCCCAAACTCAAAGGCAGATCTTACATTCTTACTGCTCCTAGAAGGTAAAACAGCATGTCAGTTTCCCTGAAAGTTCAGATAATTTTGGTTCTGTGGGAAAATTAGAAACTCCCATTTTTTGTTGACATAGAATATGGAGGTTTTCCATAAAAATATATTTAGGCTAAAATGGGTATAAGGGCTTTTATTTGGATGTTGTTATAAAGATAATTGTGTGCCTATATGTGTGTGTGTGTGTGTGTGTGTATGTGTGTCCATACTGTCTTGACTTCAGATATTTGGTCTAGTTGTCACCAATATATACTCCTTGCAATACGTCTGCAATATTTACCATAGTGTTAATGTTTGTGAAACTCTGAGTTATGATACCATTAAAAACACCCACGAGATAAACATACATCCCATATATTAAAATCTGTTATTTTGCATACTGATGGAATTAATTGAACTGGTAAATGAACAACTACTAAATATTTGTCTAGGATTTAGAGTTCACCAACAGTTTTTGCATATTTAGTTTGATATAGTTATAGTAGTTATTAGGCATGTTTTGTCTCTATTATTAAAGGGTCAATAATATTTTTTAAATGTGGTATAAGATATATAAGAAAATTTCCAAAAAATAATTTATTTTATATAGAAGTCATTCCAGATCCCTTTTTAAATATTAAATTTAATTTTATTATTTTTGGCAGCTTTATTGAAGTATAATTTATACACAAAAACTGCACATATTAAGTTTGATGAGTTTGGGCATATGTATACACCCATGAAATTATTACTACAATCAGGGTAACAGATTTATCAATCATCTCCAAAAATTTCCTTTTATTTATTTGTGGCAAGAAAACTTAACATGAGCTCTGTCCTCCTAACAAATGTTTAAGTGTACACTATAGTATTGTTAACTATTGGCACTGTGCTGTACAACAGATCTCTAGATCTTATTCATCTTGCCTAAACTGAAACTTTCTACCCACTGAACAACTCCTCATCTCTCCCTCCCTTCCAGTTCCTGGCAACCACATTCTTTGCTTCTGTAAGTTTGACTATTTCAGCTACCTCATATAAATGGTATCATAAAGTATTTGTCATTCTGTGACAGTCTTTTTTCACTTAGCATAACCTCTTGAGAGTTCATCCATGGTTGTCACATGTGGCAGGATGTACTTCTTTTTAAAGGCTGAATAATAATCGGTTGTATGTATATACCACATTTTAAAAATTCATTCACCCATCAATGGACATTTAGGTTGTTTTCATATCTTCCTGCCACATGTGCAGGTATCTCTTGGAATTCCAGAATCTTGATGAGCTTTGTGTTATCTTTATCGATAACTATTAAAATTTTATTTAGTTATGGAGGGCTGGTAAATATATTTCTCTGGTTAACAGAATCCAGATGACAAGAAGTTTGAACGTTCACATTATATGTTGTAGGCAAACTCTATGAAGACCAGTGGTCCTGTTGTGGAGTAAACTGTTATTATTTTACCATGGAAAATAACAACTGGAAGGGATGTAAACAGATTTGCCAAAGTTACAGATCATCCCTTTTGAAGATAGATGATGAAGATGAACTGGTATCATGGACTCTTACATTCACTTTTGTGGGCTCTGTCTCTCACACTTGCACTTAAGATATTGAGGATAGGCAGGAGTTCAGAAAGAAAATCCTTCAGCTATCGGTTGTGTTGTCTTCTGTGTGAGCAAAAACTGTATAGTTAGGAGTCTCCCAGAATACTCTGTCTGGGAGTATATAATGGTTGTATAATACTTCTACTCATAAAGTATTTAATATATATGATTTTTTGTGATGATCATTATTATTAAGGATGCAGTTAGCGTCTTCACAATCATTTCCATTTCTTTTTTCTATTTTTTTTGAGTCAGAATCTCACTCTGTCACCCAAGCTGGAGTGCAGTGGCACGCTCATGGCCACCGCAGCCTCAACCTGCTGGACTCAGGTGAACCTTCCACCTCAGCCTTCCAAGCAGCTGGAACCACAGGTTCGCTGCCACGCCCGACTAATTTTTTGATTTATTGTAGAGATGAGTTCTCACCAAGTTCCCCAGGCTGGTCTCGAACCATGGACTCAGGCAGTCCGCTCACCTCTGCCTCCCAAAGAGCTGAGATTACAGGCTTGAACCACCGCACCCAATTTAATCATCTCTATTTCTTTTCTTTTTTTTTGCTTTTTAAATTGAAGTCTCACTCTGTCACCCAGGCTGTAGTGTAGTAGTTGCATGCTCATGGCCACTGCAGCCTCAACCTGCCGGGCTCAGGTGATCATTCAATCTCAGCCTTCTAAGTAGCTGGAACTACAGGCATGCACCACCACACCCGGCTAACTTTTTGATTTATTGTAGAGAGGAGGTCTCACCAAGTTGCCCAGGCTGGTCTTGAACTCATGAGCTCAGGCAATCCTCTCATCTTGGCCTCACAAAGTGCTGGGATTAGAGACATGAGCCACTGCACCTGGCCAATAATCTCCATTTCTAAAGAGTCTTTAGTAGAACCACTCACAAAGAAGTATGCCTTTCCCTCAATGAAGTACTTAACAATTTTGTAAATTGCAGCTTGAAACCAATGGTTATTTTAATCTGTAAGGTGGTAACTAAGAAGTGGGATGCAGCATAGTCTAGTAGTTACTATTAGGAATCCAGGACCATTGTTTTGTTAAGCACTGGCCATGCCATGTGTTCTTTGAGCTATGGCTGCCATTTTTTCTTTTTCCTTCCTTTTTTTTTTTGTTTCTTTAGAGAGCTTTTTCTTTTTCTTTTTTTTTTTTTTGAGTTGGAGTCTCACTCTGTCTCCCAGGCTGCAGTGCAGTGGCACGCTCATGGACACCACAGTCTAGACCTGCTGAACTCAGGCGATCCTTCTGCCTCATCCTCCCAAGTAGTTGGAACTACAGGTGTGAGTCACAACGCCCGGCTAATTTTTTCGATTTATTGTAGAGACGAGGTCTTGCCAAGTTGCCCAGGCTGGTCTTGAACCCATGAGCTCAAGCAATCCTCTCACCTCGGCCTCCCAAAGTGCTAGGATTACAGGCTGAGCCACTGAGTCTGGCAAGATATATATCTTTTACAACATTTTAGAAATAGAAAACATAGTTATGACAATACCGAATTAAAAAAATTACTAATAAAAATATCTGGATACTCAAAAATGTGTTTTTATAGAGAAGTGTGTGCAAAAATCAGCCCATAACCTCTGTTTATTATTTAGGAAAACAACACAAAATTAATATGCAAATCTAATAAATGTTTAAAATTCCAACATGAAAGAATTAATATTAAGTCATAAAATAATTGTCAATGATGAAGTCAAACATACATTTAAACCTCTATTTTAAAGTATGTTTCCTCATTTTTTAGATGCTATATGTCACTTTGATATATAACATTTTTGACGTAGTAAACGCTTCCCAATACTGCCTCCTTTCCTTTCATTCTTTCCAATTACTGAATTACAGCAAAATTGTCTTTTATGAGGATGAAGCTTTTACTAAGTCTTCTTCTCACACACAATTTTTACTTTAATAAATTTGTTTTGAAGATTCCTCCTTTAACTTAAGGTCATATAATGATCAATTTCTACATCCTGAATATTCTTCTGAGCATAATTTTGGATAGTTTCATAGAGCATTATAAATGGTTTAACAAATCTCCTATTGCTAGTTATTTAGATTTTAAAATTTTCCATGTTTGAATTAATCTATGAGACTGGCAGCCATTTTACTTTGGAAATGAAAATATAGGGATTGAGGGAAGATTGTTTTTTCTAGGAGTGTGGATGAAGGATGATGTGGAGAGGAGCAGAGAACTGACTACAAAAATAGCCTGCCCCTTGATCTGTCCTTCTCTTCATCCATCTAACAGATGGGAATTGAATCACGTGATGCGTTTTTCCCCCTATATAGGCCTTTCTTCAGCCCCAGACCTATAAAAATAATTACTGGATTGGATTATCATATGATGTAAGGGAAAGTAAGTGGAAGTGGATTGATAATGGCACATCTTCTGGCATGTAAGTTTCTAGAATGCATTCAAACTGTGACGTTGCTATAGGGGTTGAAAGGATTGTGTTTAAAAAGAATCTCTCCTCATTTGACATAGCTTAACTCATTTCCAAGTAGAGATTTTTGGTAAGGATGTTTTAGGTGGTACAGTTAGAAAAGGAAGAGGAAGGTCAGTTACATGTAATCATTTTAAAAGTCTGATGGTAAGCATATGCTCAGAAGTATGTGTTATAGCCGGGCTCGGTGGCTCAGCCTGTAATCCCGCGCCTTTGGGAGGCTGAGGTGAGTGGATTGCCTGAGCCCGCAGGTTCGAGACCCACCTGGGCAGGCAAGACCTCATCTCTACAATAAATCAAAAAAATTAGCCGGGCGTGGTAGTGCGCGCCTGTAGTTCCAGCTACTTGGAAGGCTGAGGTTGAGGGATCGCCCAGCAGGTCAAGGCTGTGGTGGCCGGGAACGGCTGCTGTATTCCGGTCTGGGCGACAGAGTGAGACTCCAACTCAAAAAAAAAAAAAAAAAAAAGAAGTATGTGTTATAAGGTACACAAAATGAAACAAATTCGTGAAGATGATATGAAGTGATTGAACCATCCTCGCTTAGTCACAGTGATCCCTTCCACAACCACAAATGAACATCCTGAGTATCCCTAAATTTCATTTGAAATTCCTTTATATAATTAGTTTATACATTTACATCTGTTTATGTATCTGTATATACCTTCACTATAGTCCTTCTATTTTGAATTGTGGTGTTATGTAAACTCTTGGTTTTACATTTAGCTCTAATTTGGTATTAAACTATTCACTGATTTTTTTTTAACTTAGCTGTTCTAATTTTTATTTCTAGGAATTCTCCTTTGTGCTTTCAAATATCTTTGTTAATCACTATATTTTTAAGCTGTCTTTTATTTTTTAAAGCTATTGAACATGTTTTATACTCGGTATCTGATAATTCTAATATTTGAAGTTTTGTTGGTCTAATCTATTGCGTCTGCTGGCTTTTGTTCACGATGGAGTTTTCTTTATATTGTTAAATGCGTTTTTTTCTTTTTGAGTTGTGGAAACTGCTTGAGGTCTGAGATGAAAGTGGTAGCTTCCTCAAGAAAGAATTTGCTTTTGTTGGATCCCTTGGGACATTGTGAATCTGAGACACTTTTCATTTTAAATTTGAGTACTTGCAAGTATTATGGTTTGGCTGCAAACTTGCAAAAGATGTCATGTAGGAAATTAACTTGATGTAATTGTGTTCTCCAAGCACACTCCCAGGCAAACTATCCCAGAAGGTCACAGAACAGAAAGTCTCATAGGTGGAATCAAAGTGCTCGAATCACAGTTAATTATACCAAATAGCACAATGCAAAGGGAAAGAAGTAGGACAGGTTGTTGCACTTGAGAGAAGGTGCAAGAAGGTGAGAGGATCACCTGCCTGGGTTAGGCAGTCTTCATATGGCCTACGTCTCTCTGCTGCATAACCCTCCCCTGATGGTGTGGTTTCCAAGGCCAGATTTGAGGTTTGATTAATAGTGCTGAGCTGGGCTTGGTGGCTCAGCCTGTAATCCCACGCCTTTGGGAGGCTGAGATGAGTGGATTGCCTGAGCCCGCGGGTTTGAGACCCGCCTGGGCAGCGAGACCTCATCTCTACAATAATAATAATAAAAAAATCAGCCAGGTGTGGTAGCGCATGCCTGTAGTTCCGGCTACCTGGAAGGCTGAGGCAGAAGGATCGCCGGAGCCCAGCAGGTCGAGGCTGCGGTGGCTGGGAGCGGCCACTGCACTCCAGTCTGGGCGACAGAGTGAGACTCCAACTCCAACTCCAACAGACAGAAGGTTTATGCAGCCAGCACACACAGTTTCTCTACTGGGGTGAGACTTGTAAGCCTGGGCCCATGTAACTTTCTTTCTTTCTTTTTCTGAGTCAGAGTCTCACTCTGTCACCCAGGCTGGAGTGCAGTGGCACTCTCACGGTCACCACGGTCTCGACCTGCTGGGCTCAGGTGATCCTTCTGTTTCAGCATTCCAAGTGGATGGAACTACAGGTGTGTGCCACCACGCCTGGCTAACTTTTTGGTTTATCGTAGAGATGAGGTCTCACTAAGTTGCCTAGGTTGGTCTCGAGCCCATGGACTCAGGCAGTCCTCTCACATCAGCCTCCCAAAGTGCTGGGATTATAGGCATGAGCTACCGCGCCCGACGCACAATGTAACTTTCTAATTCACCTGATAAGTGGTGATAGATTTAATTTGTATTTCTTGGGCAGGACCAGAATGGGTATCACCAATGGATGGTGAATTTAAGACCTCGTGATTTTTGAGTGTGTATGTGCATCATGTATATTTCTTCCTATCTTGTCTATGTTTAACACATACATGCTTTACTTACTGTATCTTTACTTAACGTGTTTCATAGGTTACTAATTTACCTATCCATACTTAGCACACCTTATTAAGGATTCTGCCTATATCTCACAAGCTGCTGGGTTTTATTTATCTTCCTTGTTTATTTGTTTCTTTTTTTTTTTCCTGTAGCAGATTTGAATATTCTTAAATAATATAGCAAATGAAATTACATGAGAAATGCTTTGTGATTTTGAATCCTTAGGTGGGATTATTCTTCTTCTGTTTTGCTTAAATACAAGGTTCAAGACAGTTCTGGAGTGGTTTATACTGAGGATATATACCTTTGGGGGTCTCAGTCCTATGTAACTTGTTATCTTAGAAATTCCTGCTGTGGTGGCCGGGAGCGGCCACTGCACTCCAGTCTGGGTGACAAGAGTGAGACTCCAACTCAAAAAAAAAAAAAAGGAATTCCATCTCGGGTGGAATTCATTATTCAGCCTACTTTTCAAGCAGAGTTTCCATTAAGGGAAAAACTGGCTTCAATGTTTCATTTATCTTGTGGGTTTCCACCTTTACTTAACCTTCAGCCTGAGTATGAACCTTGTTTTTGACAGTCTGTGAATGTAATCAAGAAGTTTAATTTTATTTAATTTAATTTTTTGAGTCAGAGTCTCACTCTGTCACCCAGGCTGGAGTGCTCGAATCAGAGTTAATTATATCAATAGCACAGTGCAAAGGGAAAGAAGTAGGTTAGGTTGTTGCATTTGAGATAAGGTGCAAGAAGGTGAGAGGATCACCTGCCTGGGTTAGGCAATCTTCATATGGCCTACGTCTCTCTGCTGCACAACCGTCCCCTGATGATGGTGTGGTTTCCAGGGCCAGACTTGGAAATGGCCACCACAGCCTCAATCTGCTGGGCTCAGGTGATCCTTCCACCTCAGCATTCCAAGTGGCTGGAACTACAGGCATGTGCCATCATGCCCTGATAATTTTTCATGATTTATTGTAGAGATGAGGTCTTGCCAAGTTGCCCAGGCTGGTCTTGAACCCGTGGGCTCAGGCAACCCTCTCACCTTGGTCTCCCAAAGTGCTGGGATTATAGGCATAAATCACCGCGCTGGGCTAATTTTTTTTAAAGCAGCATTTTAAATTGTTTTCAATAGGAAGTAGTTTTGGCAACTAATTCACCATTTTACTGAAATACAAGTCCTGGTTATAGATATTTTTCATTGGATTGTCATGTTTTAGCTGATTATTATTAGCTGTGGGGTGGGAGAGGAAAAGATACAAAACAATAATGTCAATCAAGCAACATAATCTCTGACTACATTCCAGTTCTAATTTTTTCTCTTTAAAATATATGCAGAAGCCAGGTGTGGTGGCTTATGCCTGTAATCCTGGCACTTTGGGAGGCTGAGGTGGGAGGGTCACTTGAACCCAGGAGTTAGAGACCAGCCTAGACAACATAATGAGACTTTGTATCTACAACAAACAAAAACCTCAAACTAAAGAAACTAGCTAGGTGTGGTGGCGTGCACCTGTAGTCCCAGCTATTCAGTAGGACGAGATGGGAGAATCTCTTGAGCCCAGAAGTTTGTGGTGAAACATGATTGTGCCACTACACTTGTCTGGGTGATAGAATGATACCCCCAACTCAAAATATGTATTTATACATATATATGAGACCTAGTTATCTCTGTCACAGAAATTCAGTTCTCCTTTTTAATTTCTAACTTTTAGTGAGAAAATTAACATAGGAAAGCAATTTTGGCATATTCCAATTTCATCACAATATTGCAAAGTAATTTTGACTTCTGACCATAAATTTTCAATGTGGAATAAAATGGGAGATCATGGGTGCGATTAAGGGCCACAATTCTCTTTAGTGAACTTAATGAACTAAGAGCCAAAAAAAAAAAAAAACAATTACTGATGAAGTTATGGTTAGCTTTCCAATATTCTAGATATTTAGGTAACATAATTTTTTAAAAATCACCAATTTTTTGTAATTGTAAGCTTCAGAATTAAACAATTGATCATGTTTGTTTTCTCTTCTACAGCAATTCTACAATAATGAGTTTGCTTTCTGGGAAAGGAGATTGTGCATTTTTAGCCGCAACAAGAATAGCAACTATTGATTGCCTTAAAACTTACAATTGTATCTGTGAAAAGAGAATTGATTGTATTTTCCCTGCTCCGACGTGCACTAAGAATGGAAGGTGAAAATGTAATGTCTTTTTTTGTTGTTTCTTGTAGTCATTTGTGATTTCTAACAAATAAATGTTTTTAACTGCAGGACTTAGTTGAAACAGAGTGAGATGAGCTGGAAGAGAAAGAAAATGTTCTTTTAGATGACAACTTAAGGGATCAGATACCATTATTCTTTCTGGGAAGAGGCAAAGATTTTGTCTTTGGAGAGCAGTTGCCCCTTTCTTTAATGGTCCTGAAGAATTATTTATTCTTTCTATTTTCTGGAGTCATCACAGAACCAATTGGAGAATCCTGACAAATAACCTGGATTGTTTCCTTGTCAAGAGGACAAATCATTTTACTGACTTCTGGCTTTGAAAGACAGCATAATTAAGGACTAGAATACTTTTTTCCCCAGCTAGAAACTTACCTCATCTTTTACAAATTTATTTTTCTGTAAAACATAATTTCAAACTTACTGAAAGTTGCAAGGCTAGTGCAAGAGACTTCCATATAACCTTTACTCATGGTTCATTCTCTCTCTCTCAATCCTTGTTGATCATTTGATAATAAATTGAGGTCTTCATGTCCCTTTGTCTAAATATTTTCTAAGGACAAGGATGTTGTCTTATTATAGTCATACTGCAGTTATAAAACTTAGAAAATTTAGCATCAATATGGTACTGAGATTTAGTCTATCATCCATGTTCAAATTTTGTCAATTGTTCCAATAATGCCATTTATAGTTACATTTTATTCATGCTCAGCATCATGCAATTCATTTAATTGTGGTGTCTCTTTAGTCTCCCAAATCTAATCTGTAACAGTTCTTCATGCTTTCTTTGTCTTTCTTGACCTTGACATTTAAAAAATTAACTTTATTGAGTTATAATTTTCATACAGTAAAATGCACCCATTTTCATGAGTAATATGGATTCTAACTGATATATATACCTCTTACACTATCAAATCAAGATAGAGAACATTTTCATCACCTCCAAAACACTTCTTTTTGCCCCTCATCTCTCACTTTACCCCAGTCAACCAGTGATATGCTTTCTATCACTATAAATTAGTCTCACCTATTCTAGAATTGTATGAATTATGTATTCTTTTGTATCTGGCTTCTTTTTGCTCAACATGTCTTTTAACTTAGTCCATGTATGTGTGTGTGTGTGTGTGTGTGTGTGTGTGTGTGTGTGTATAAACAGTAGTTCATTCTTGTTGCTATATGGTATTCTATTGTACAGATATACCACAGTTTGTTCATTTACCTATGGACACTTGATGTGTTTTCAACTTTTCACAATTATGAATAAAGCTGCCATGAACATTTATGTGCAAGTCCCTGTGGACATAGGTTTCAATTTCTTTTTAGTATATACCTAGAAGTCTAACTGATAGGTCCTTTGGCAAGTTCATGTTTACTTTTATAGGAAACTTCTAAACTGTTTTCCAATGTGGTTGCATCATTTTACTTTCCTACTAGCAACATATAAGAGTTCCAGTGTGCCTTCATTATTGTCAACATTTGACATTGTCAGTCTTTTTAATTTTAGCCATTCTGGTGAGTGTTTAGTGGTATCTCATTGTGATTTTTAATTTGCATTTCCCCAAAGACTAATATTGGGCATATTTTCGTGTGTTTATGTGACATTTGTATATTTTTAAAGCCTTCATTTTTTGCCCACTTTAAAAAAAAATCAGGTTTATCTTTTTTTTTTGAGTCAGAGTCTCACTCTGTCACCCAGGTTGGACATAATTATGGCTCACCACAGCCTCAAACTTTTGGGCTTAGGCTATTCTTCTGCCTCAGCTTCATGAGTAGCTGAGACTAGAGGTGTGCATTACCATGACTGGCTAATTTGTTTTATTTTTTTGTAGTGATAAGGTCCTCCCATGTTGCCCAGGCTGATCTTGAACCCCTGGGCTCAAGCGATCCTCCTGCCTCAACTTTCCAAAGTGCTGGGATTACAAGCATGCACCGTCATGCTTGGCCATCTGTCTTCTTATAATAGAGTTGTATGAGTTCCTTATATAATTTGAATACCAATCCTTTCTTTGTTAGATATATGTATTTAAAATATTTTCTTTATTTTCTATGTCTTGCATTTTCATTTTTATAGTGTTTTTTGAGAAGCAGAGGTTTTATAGTTTTAATGAAGCCTAATTTATCTTTTTATTCTTTCTAACGTTTTAAGAAGTCTTTGCCTACATCAAGATCACAGAGATTTTTTTCTTATGATTGCTTCTAGAAGTTTTATAGTTGTTTTTTTTTTTTTGAGTTGGAGTCTCACTCTGTTGCCCAGACTGGAGTGCAGTGGCCGCTCCCGGCCACTGCAGCTTCGACCTGCTGGGCTCCAGAGATCCCTCTGCCTCAGCCTTCCAAGTAGCTGGAACTACAGGCGCGCGCTACCAGCCCGGCTAATTTTTGATTTTATTGTAGAGATGAGGTCTCGCCAAGTTGCCCAGGTGGGTCTTGAACCCTCAGGCTCAGGCAATCCACTCACCTCAGCTTCCCAAGGCGCAGGATTACAGGCTGAGCCACCGAGCCTGGCTAGTTTTATAGTTTTAACTTATATGTATATCTTTTACTCATTTCAAGTTAATGTTTCCATATATATGAGAAAATTATATATATGGGAACATTAATTTATATTATATATGTGGGAACGTAACACTGTTATTTCATATAGATATCCAGATGTTTTTGTACAATTTGTTGAAAATATTTTTAAAATGAGCGGGGCTCGGTGGCTCAGCCTGTAATCCCGCGCCTTTGGGAGGCTGAGGTGAGTGGATTGCCTGAGCCCGCGGGTTCGAGAACCACCTGGGTAGGCGAGACCTCATCTCTACAATAAAATAAAAAAATCAGCCGGGCATAGTAGTGCGCGCCTGTAATTCTGGCTACTCGGAAGGCTGAGGCGGAAGGATCGCCAGAGCCCAGCAGGTCGAGGCTGCGGTGGCCAGGACTCCAACTCAAAAGAAAAAAAAAAAAAAAAGAATTACTTCTCCATTGAATTTTCTCATTTGTAGAATATTAATTGACTATGTGGGTCTATTTCTGAATTCTCTATTCTGTCTCAGTAATCTATATGCCTATTCTTGTAATAATACCATGTCTCAATTACTGTAATCCTTGGAATCAAATGTGCTCATTCTCCAAATTTGTTCTTTTTCACAAGTATATTGGTTATTTACAGGCTTTGCATTTTCCCGAAATTTCTTTAAAAATGCATGATGGTATTGGCATGGTGACTCATGCCTATAAATTCTAGTTTTAGAACACCAAGTTGGAAGGATACTTTGAGGCCAGGAGGTTAGGGTTGCAGTGATCTGTGATCATGTCACTACACTTCAGCCTGGACCTTGTCTCAAAAAGAAAAGAAGAAGAAGGAGAAGGAGGAGGAGGAGGAGGAGGAAGAGGAAGAGGAAGAGGAAGAGGAAGAGGAAGAGGAAGAAGAAGAAGACCCATGATGAATGGTAAAATGGCTCATGCCTGTCATGCCAGTGCTTTGAAAGTTAGAGGTGGGAGGACTGCCAGAGCCAGGAGTTTGTAACCAGCCTGTGCAACATGGCAAGACCCCATTCTATAGAAAATGAAAAAATTAGCCTGCTATGGTGGCATACACTTGTAGTCCCAACTACTCAAGAGGTTGAGGTCTTGACTAAGAAGATTGCTTTATCCCAGAAGTTGGAAGCTGCAGTGAGCTATGATCACGCCCGTGCACTCCAGCCTGGTTGACAAAGTGAGACTCTGTCTCTTAAAAAAAAATGCATGGCGGAATTTTTACTGGGATTGCATTGTCACTATAGATTAATCTGGGAGGAATGATATCTTAACAATATTGGGTATTAGAACTCATGAACATGATTTATCTCTCCATTTATGTAGGTCTTAATTTCTCTCAGCGATATGTTACTTTTTAGAATATAGATCTTACACATATTTTGTTAAATTTATGGTTTTTTGATGCTGTTTTAAATGGTCTCATGACAGACCCCTATTGAGTCTAAGAGGGTGGCACAGTGTCTGAGAGGTGGAAATAAACATCTGGAGACAGCAGGGGAGACATAAGGTTTATTGGAGACTTATACACAAGATGTCCAGAGGCAGCAGGCTGGACAGGAGAAAGATTACTACAGTTTGTGACAGGCATGCTGGTTACACAGTAACTTTTACATAGCAACTTATGTTTAGTAACCTTCCCCTCACTTAAAACAAAGGGCCTCGGTCCCTTCCATGTCCAGCGCCCGAGAAACAGGCCAGTGTCCACACGTTCTTCGCAGGTATGGAATAAACATCTTCCACAAGTCATGGCATTTTGCATTCCTACCAGCAATGAATGAGAGTTGCTGTTGTTCTGAAAGTGCAAGTTCCAGAGACATCAACATCACTCATAAAACATTCAATGCTCAAAGGGAAGTCTGAAGCATTTGCACTCATCGCTTTCTTGAGTTTTTCATACTCCTGACAGAGTCGTAATAATGCACGGATTTTGGACTTTAGGTCTAGATTGTATCTCTTCCCAAATTCTTCACAGAAGTGACTTACTAACACTTCTTCAAATTTTCTGTCTCCCAATGTATCAAATGCAGTGGCCAGAACTTTTAGTTTTCCTCTATTAAACGCACACACAGAAACTTGATAAGCAGAATGGCCCATGTCTACAAAACTCCATTTCTTGGTTTCTCTTCTAAGGCAGGAAGATCTTGCTTATAGATTCCATATGCAAGAGCAACTGCAGTAGTTTCATTCATTAATCGCAGGCAATTGAGACCAGCAATCTGTGTTGCATCCATCACTGATCGTCTTTCTGCATCAGTATAGAAACAAGGAGCCAACACAACACAGTTAACAACAGGTTTCTTAACACGTTCTGCCGTCTCCTTCAGTTTAGACAAAAGCATGGCAGTCACTTGCTCAGTGGTAAAATTTCATTCTTCCTCCATATATGTCACCTTTATGCCCGTTAATCCAGTGGGCAATTGTACAATATCATATGCAAGGTCAGATTTTTCTGCCTCCACAAACGGATCAGAGAATGCTCGGTCATGGAATCTTTTAAATTCCTGGACTGTGTTCTTTGCATTGGAAATTACCTGACTTTTAGCTGCTGCTTCAATTGAACGATTCTTAGGACCAAAAGAAATGCAAGCCCCCATTCAGTTTGCTTCTCCTAAAAAAAATGCTCCGAAAAGTCTTCAGTGACTGAATTATTCCTTTGTCACCCAGGCTGGAGTGCAATGGCACACACACGGCCACTGCAGCCTCAACCTGCTGGGCTCAGGTGATCCTTCCGTCTCAACCTTCCAAGTAGCTGGAACTACAGACACGCACCACCACACCTGGCTAGTTTTTGTGATTTGCTGTAGAGACGAGGTCTCACCAAGTTGCCTGGGCTGGTCTCGTACCCCTGGGATGCTCAGGCAATCCTCTCGCCTTGGCCTCCCAAAGTGCTGGGATTACAAGCTGAGCGCCCGCACCGGCCTATGTTTTCCATCTTATTCCAAAACGGGGTGCAGTGGTCGCTATACTCATGAGCGATGGTCTCGATGCCGCTGGCGCTGGCCACCGCGACGTAGCAGCTCTGGAAGCCCAGGTCTATGCCCACGACCGACATGGCACCGGTTACGGCTCGACCCAGTTCGGCCGCCGGGACAGGACGCGGACCCCGGCGGGGCCAGCACGTGGAGAGGGTGCCGCGTGGGCCGGGGGACCGGGCTGCTGGGGGTGTGCAGGTGTCCACGCGAGAGCCTGGTCCTCGGAGGGGGGACAGCAACCGAGGACGCTACCCAGGCCGGCTCCGGCTCAGCGGCAGCAGAAGAGGCACCGGTAGCGGGGGCGGAGATCTCGAAGCCACGTCTGATACTGAGAGTGAAATTAGGCAAGCCAAGAAAATAATTCAAGGGTACATACTGATAGATCTCAAACAGTAGTGAACATCAGATTCACCTGAAGAATTTGTTAAAACACAGATTGATGTGTTTCACTGTCAGAGTTTCTAACTCAGCAGAGTAATGGGTTAAATTGTGGCCCGGAAAACACAGACTCAAGTCCTCACCCCCAGCACCTTATTTGGGAAAAGGTCTTTGCATATGTAATTCAGGTAATCTCAATCTCACGCTGGATCATGGTGTACCTTAAATTCAATGACAGGTATCCTCATAAGAGATATAAAAAGACACACAAAAACAGAGGGAAAAACCATGTGAGCTCAGAGGCGGAGGTTGTAGTTACACACCCATAAGCCAAGGAAGTCCATGAATATGGTGCTGGCATCTGGCAAGGTTTGTCCTATGGCAAAGGCATACATGGGGAGAGACGTGGAAGAGACTGTGTTTGTTTTTATAACAAAGCCACTCCCATGATAACAAACCCATTTTCACAATAAGGGCAATCATTCATTTATAAAAGTGGAGTCCTCATAACTTAATTACCTCTTACAGGTCCTAACTCCCAAAACCATCACGGTGACTATTACATTTCAACATGAGTTTTGAAGGAAACATTCTAACCATAGGCCCCCATGGTAAAATCTTGCAAGACTATAGTATGTCACAACCTAGATATTGATATTGATGTAGAGTAGTTCCATAACAACGATTCCTTTTCTTGCCTTTTTATAGCCATACCTTCTCTTTCTCCATTCTTTGTTTTCGACTCCTTCTCTGTTTTTATAATTTTATAAAAATGTAAATGAAATCATATGGTATGTGCCCTCAACATAATTTCCTAAAATTTTATACAAGGCGTTGCAAGTTATCAATAGTTCGTTTCTTTTTATTGATGAATAGGTATAGATGCACCACAATTTGATTAACCATTCATCATTGAGGAATATTTTTGTTATTTCCAGTGTTTTTTGTTTGTTTGCTATTTTATTTTATTTTTTGCTAATGCAAGTAAGACTGCTATGAACAGGTACAGAGATATTTGTGTGAACGTAACACAGTTCATTTCTCTGAGATCAGTGTCAAGAGAGCAATTACTGAAGTCCTATGGAAGTTACAATGTTTAGATTTATAGGCAGCTACCAAACTGTTTTCTAAAGAGACTATAACATTTTACACATCACTAACAATGGATGAGTTCCACTTTCCACTCATTTTGTCAGTATCCTGGCCATTATTTGTTGTTGTCATTATTTTAAAATTCTGTCCCTTTTGATAGATATGTAATGATTTCTTTAGAAAGTTTAAAAAAATTAGTAGACTATTTTTCTGAGCAGTTTTAGTTTTACAAAAAAAAAAAAAAATGAGTGGGAAGTACAGAGAGTTCCCATATTTCTCTTTACCCCTCCTTCCAGTTTCCCCTATTATTAATATCCAGCAGTAGTGTGGCATATTTGTTACAACTGGTGAGCCAATATTGATACATTATTACAAACTAAAGTTCATAGTTTACATTAGTTTTACTCTTTGTGTTTTAGTCTATAGTTTTCAGATTGATTTCTTTTACTTAATTATGTGCATATAAGTTTCTGTTATGACTCTTTGTAACTTGATACTTCATTTCTTTTTATAGTTGAATAGTGTTTCATTGTCAGGATGTGTCACAGTTTTACCAACTGACTTATTGAAGGACACCTTGATAGTTTTTGGCAATTATGAATAAAGCTGCTATAAACATTCTTGTGCAGGTTTTGTGTGTATTTAAGTTTTTGACTCATTTGAATAAATACTAGGAGTATTTCTGCTGCATTATATGGTATGTTTAGTTTTTTAAGTAACTGCCAAACCATCTTCCACAAGTCATGCTATTTTTGCATTCCTACCAGCAATGAATGAGAGTTGCTGTCATTCTGCATCCTTGTCAGTATTTGGTGGTATCTATCAATAGTTTGGATTTTACCATTCTAATAGTTGTGTAGTGGTATCAAACTGTTATTTTAATTTGCAATTTCCTAGTGGTATATAATATTTAATGTCTTTTCATATCCTTATTTGCTATCTGTGAAGCTTGTCTCTACTCCTGTTCATACTAACTTTATTTATAATATAAAAAAAACCATGAAAGCAAACAAAATATCCCTCCATAGGTAAACTTTTGCCCCTTTCAAAAATTGGGTTGCTTGTTTTCTTACTGTTGGGTGTTATGAGTTCTTTGTATATTTTGGATACCAGTCCTCTTTTAGATGTATGTTTTGCAAATATTTTCTCTTAGTCTGTACAGGGTTTGTCTTTTCATTTTCTTAAATTCCTTAGAATTTTTGTCATTATCTTTTCTCTACTTGGCAAATAGAATTTCTTATAATTTACTGGATCTATACAAATTGGCATTTTCCGTATTTATTTGGACATTAATTCATATTTAATTTCACATACTGTTTTTTTCTGTCACAATGCTAGAAATATGATGAGGGGATTCCTCCAAAGAACAGAATTTATTTATGAAAAAACGTGTACTTATTTTTACATGTTTAAACTTTAGTCCCTTCAAAGTACTCTCTATTTGATGCAATACACCTATTGAGATGGTTTTTCCACTGCTCACAACAGACTTTGAACTGGTCAATTTTAATGCCTTTTAGTGTTTCTGTCTTTTTTTGTTTCATCTCTTCCACATGGTCAAAGCAGTTCCCTTGAGGAGTTTTTCTTTATCCAGAGAAACAAAAATAAACTTGCTCAGGGTGAGATTGGGTGAATAAAGAGGGTGGGGCATAGGGGTGTCATGCTGCTTTTGGTCAAAAAAATTCTGAACATAGTGTGGGCAGGTGCATTCATAAAACACCCATTATGAAATGGACACATGCAATGGGAAGATCTCAAGCAAATGAACACAAAAAATTCACTGAAGCTGAATGCAACCTCACACAACAATGCTAGCTGGTACTCTGATGCTAATGGATTCTTAGAACACTCACCTAGCAGAGGAAGGCTGTACTACCAAGGGCTCCCCTCCAAAAGATAATTCCATTTTTGGGGGGTCCTCTCTCATATTTAAAGTCATCTGAACCTTTTATGGAAGTTATAGGGATATGGCACATATGGGGATCATTATAACAATTCTATGAGATAATATCTTTATCCTCATTTTATGGATGAGAAAACTGAGGCTTAGTAAGATTATTCAATTAATAGTCTGAGTTAGGGTTTTAACCCTGGCTGCCTGACTCTACTCTGACAAAGATACACATCTGATCTTTGTCCTTAGCTCAGGTGTCTTTCCATTATTTTACTAAACTGAGAATAATAGATAATTTTTCCAAGTACAAGATGGGTATAAATGTCAGAGTCATCTAAAAATGGCAGGTGCTATGATTTCATAATTTATTATGTTAATTATTTATCACAGGCTTTTCAGTATGCTACAGTAGTAGTAAGACCAAGTGGAGCTACAAACTGGAAAATATAAAAGGAAAAAGTGTGAGCCTGATACCTAGTTTATCCTCAATGGTAGAGACTGACTCATGATGCAAAAAGGACACTGGAAATCAGTAAGGTGGAGTGGGGTTGTTTTCAATTTTTCCTTTTTAAATTTCATCTGCCATGTCTTTCAAGATCCCAAAGTAGAATTCAGATATTTTACACAAAAATCCATAAGATAATTCAAATTTAAGAGATTATTCTTTGCTTTGAATTCTCTATGCTAGATGCTGCTTGTTTCACCCATTACTTGCTCCAGTTATGTTTCATTTGGACTGATGTGCTTTTTTCTTTTTTACTTCCATAGCTAAACTTATTTTTCTATCAAGAATCAGCTTAAGTCGCACATTCTTGTGCAGTTAGTTGGTCACATTTCAGCCCAGCCAGAATTAGTTGCTCATTTTCCTGTTCTATGAAATGCTTTGATTTTTATTGTGTCACTTTAGATTACATTGTTTGTCATTTGAATTGAAGTGAGAAATATTTTTTTCACACACTTTTTATAATTTGTACAAATTTTAAACAAGTTTATTTCCTAACTTAGTAGTTTGACCTTTTCATTAAAGAAATACAAAACAAACCCCATTAGATAAAAGACATCTTAGAAGAAAAGTGAACATTTAAAAAAGAAAGCATTTCTTTGGTTGAATATGAAGACAGCTATTTCTCAGTGGTGCAAGTATAAACAGAGTAGTGATAGCTCTAAGACTTTATTTAAAAAAATCTCTCAGAGTAATTACGATAAAACTATACAAAGAAATAAGTATCTGGGTAGTATATGCTTTCAGTATCAAATATATAAGGTGTACTTTGCAGAAAATGATAAGAAAATATTTAGAGTTGTTTTTATTCAAGAAATATTTATTAAGCAGTTACTGTGTATAGGAAACTGGTAAATACTGGGACTTCAAAGTGAGAATGACATAATCACCGCCTAAAACCTAGGTTAATTGGCAAAGAGATCCAAGATAGCAAGTAAATTATTAATGAGTAATAAATATTCCAGTTATGGAGATGGTCAGATTTTGCATCATAGACTTTAAGTACAGGGTGACTATAAAGTTGTGAAATACAGATAACATTTTCTTTTGCTTTTCACAGATTAACCCACTTGATTACTTCTTCTGGGATATGCTAGAGGGGAAGGTTTATACTGTGGAAATCAGAGACAAAAATCATTGGAGGCAACATACACAGAAGCATGTGCAAGGATTGATGGGAATATTGTATTAATGTACCACAATTATTCCTATTA